ACGGGGCTGGGGCTGGGGCAGGGGGGAGGAGGGAGACCCGCCGAACCAGCCCGCGGGCCCAGCCGGCACAAGCAGAAGGCAGCAGCGAGCCCCACGCTGCGAGGCAGCACGCGAGGGCTCCCCAGGACCTGGCACCCCGAGGGAAACCGCTCGCTTGCACTGTGCCCAGCCCGAGCAGGCCCTGATGACTGCGAACAGACACACTGGGCACGGTCTCGTTGCTTCTTCTCCCACAGAATTTTTTTCCCGGAGCTAAGCTCACTCCCAGTGGCACAGGGAAGCCCACACATCCCCACCCCCTCTCCCAGCTGCAGGGGCTGGGGCAGGACCAAACCCCTGGCCCCCTTCTCCTCTTTCTACACCTCTCTAGGGAAACACTCCTCTGCCAGAGCAGCTTTCGCCACACAACCCACCTCCTCGCTCAGCCTCCCGCAGCTGCGAGAGCTCACGCCACCGCCACAGCCCAGAAACCCGCCTCTGAGAGGGCAGAGCAGAACAAGCACCCCCAGCCTGGCCTTCCTGACCGCGCCACCGCCTTTTCACAACCCCGGGAAAGCCACGCACAGAGGCCAACGGCGCAGGGCCAGCCCGCTGCGGCGCAGGACTCGACCCCCCTCCCCAGCGCCCGGGCAGATGCTCCCCAAGGCTGCTGCTCCCCGCGCCCACTGTGCCCGAGGGTGCTCGGCCCGAGGCGAGCAGCGCCCAGGCCTCCAGCTGCAGCCTGTGCCACCCGTAAGGAAACACGAGATGGCCAACAAGGAGACAGACCCCATGAAAGAAAACGTGTGCGTACCGCTGCTTCGTCGTCCACGTCAAGCTGAGGTAGAGACAGACAGAGATGGCACAGTCAGTTAGAAACACACACACAGGCAGCAAGACAACAGGGAAGACGAACACGGGCAGAGGCCAACGACAAGCAGGGACCAAGGCTCTCGGAGAGGAGCGACACGCACGCACACGCAGCAAAAGCAACGGCTACGACACTGGGAGAGCGTTCGGACACAGCCGGAGAACAGGTAAAGCACGGGAAGGGAAGTGCCACCAACAAACTGTCCTCCCTGTGACACACTTGTTCCCAAAGCATGGATCGATCCTGCAAGAACTGAGGAATCATCGTGCCAAAAAGCGCTGTCCCGCGACCCACGGCAGCTCCAGCAGGTGCCCTGGGGCGAGCAGCCTCTCCCCTCCCGGATCGACACCCATACGTCCCCCCGGGGAGAGCTGGGGGGGTGAGGGCAGGGGGGAAGGGGGAGCCGCTCCAGCTCTCACACCAGGAGGGCTGGGGGCTCAGCACGGCGACAGGAGCAGCCCCCCCGGCTCCCCCCTGGCCCAGCTGAGGTGAGCAGCGTTTGCCCTGGGCACATTCTCGCGCTCTCCGGCAACACGTGAGCAGCCAGAAAAGCTTCGGGGCCGCAGGTGCTTCCTGCCCGCGGGCTGGGTGCCAGCCGCCCGCTTCCCAGAAACCCTTGGCAGAAGAAACTTCCCCCCGGCAGCGCCAAGGCCGCGGGGATCGGGAAAGGTCCCTGCGGCGCCGCTCCAGCTCCCCTGGGGAAGGCGCATGGTGCCCAACGGGGGAGCCTGCGGCACTCACCATGGAGAGGGCTTCCCGCGTCTGCTGGAGCAGGGGCTCAGGGAGCAGGGAGATATGGACGCACTCGGGGACGTTCACTGTCCCGCCGTCCAGGTCTGCGATGACAACGTCCAGCTGGAAGCAGGGGGACAGGCGTGAAGCAAGGCCAGGGCTCCCCGACTCCCTCCCCAAGCCCTGCTCAGGAAGAGGAGGGCCTGGGGCAGCGCCTCTCTCCTCTCCAGCCCGTGGGATTTATCTTCTCTTCCCCACCGTCACCAAACCCAAGCTGTAAAGGGACCCCATCGCTCCCTGCAATGAAGGGGGCAGGGGGAGCACAACCTGGCAGGAGGGGGGTGCAGCTCTGCTTGGCAGGCGCCTGCCCTCACTGCGTGGACCCTTATCAGCCTGGGTGAGGGGTCAAACACCGACCCCAGCCCAAGTTAACCCGAGCAGTGCGCTGCCATCCCTTCAAGGAGGCTGCACGAAAACCTGTTTCCATATAGATCAGACTCGCTGTGCTCTGATTTAATTCAGTTTCTGAACCAAAGTGCCAACACAGCCTCTGGGACCGGCGCCACCGGATGAGTTTCAAAATGAAATCCTCAGTTAACCCCAGCCCTGAGCCCTGACGGCGCGTGGCCCAGCCAGCCCTGCTTGGCTTGTGGGGCACATCTGGACTGCAGCCCGGGCTGGCCGGCCTGGATAAGCTGAGCCTGTGCGAGCCGGCGGGCTCAGCCCGCTACCCCAGGCACCCCGGGGTCTGACTTGCAGCGCTGCTGCCCCCGGCGCAGGGATGGGGCACGCGGCCTCTCACCAGCTCCTGCGTCTCCGACTGGAAGATGGAGTGGACTCCGATAATGAAGGGGGTCGGCGTGCTCAGGACCTCAAGGAGCTGCGCAGGCAAGATGGGCACGTACGTGAAACTGCAACCGAAAAAGAGCATCACTGCACCCGTCCAGCCCCGCTCTCTGCCCCAGCACCCTCCCCGACGCTGGAGGCTCCCCAGCTTCCCCTGGCACCCCCAGCCCGCAGGCACTACGTGCCCTACAGCCACGCAGGGTATTGATGGAGCCTGACCAGTTCTCTGGCCTTGGAGCTATAATCTAGGTCTGATGGAGGGAAAGCTTTCCAGCGGTGCGGTTGAACTCCAGAAGCGAGCTTTCTTTGGGACACAAATGGCCTTTCTGCAGCCGGGGGGTACGGCAGGCCAGCGTGGAAACAGCGCGACAGGAGCTGGCAGCACCGACGGTCCGTCTCTCCGTGCTGCCCCACTTGGGAGACAGGCCAGCAGTGGCCAGTCTGTGTGCCAGCCCCCTTGCAGGACTCACTGCAGCAGCCTGGCCACCACCGGCACCTTAACAAAAGCCCTGTGTGCCCATGTCCCTTTCTAAGAAGGGCACAAGTTGAGCCACAGCTTTCTGGAAGCTTCCCAGAGTCTAGCCTCCCCCCTCAGCAAGACTCCGTGCCCGGGGCTGGGCCGGAGGGCTCCTCTGGAAGGGGTACGGTGCTGCTCAGGGCTTGGCACAGGCTGAGAGGAGGGAAAGGGGCCAGAGTCTGGAGACAGAAGCACCTCTGGCCTCTCTCACGTGCACCATGGGGCGAAAACGCGCTGCCAGGGGACGTCCTGCAGCCCAGTGGGCTTCCCCAGCTCTGCCAGGAGTTGCCAGGGCTAGGAACAGTGCACACCAGCAGCCCCTGGAGATACAGACACTGCTAGTGAAGCCTCACTCCCTGCTCCCAGTGCCAGAGCCCCGTCTGCCCAAGAGAGGAGGGAGACAGGGCCGGAGGGTTTGCACCCTGTCACTGCCATGGACGCTCTGGAATCCCAGAACCATGTGGGTTGGAAAAGCCCTTGAAGCTCCTCCAGCCCCACCATGACCCTCCCCCTGACCGTTCCCAACTCCCCCAGATCCCTCAGCGCTGGCTCAGCCCAACTCTTCAACCCCTCCAGGGATCCCGGGGACTCCCCCCTGCCCTGGGCAGCCCATTCCAACGCCCAACAGCCCCTTCTGCACAGAAATCCTTCCTCAGAGCCAGCCTGACCCTGCCCTGGGCAGCTTGAGGCCATTCCCTCGGGGCCTGGCGCTGGCTCCTTGGCTCCAGAGACTCATCCCCCCTCTCTGCCCCCTCCTGGCAGGGAGTTGCCGAGGGCCAGGAGGTCTCCCCTCAGCCTCCTCTTCTCCAGACTGAACCCCCCGTTCCCCCAGCTGCTCCCCAGCAGACCTGTGCTCCAGACCCTGCCCCAGCTCCGCTGCCCTTCTCTGGCCACGCTCGAGTCATTCAATGGCCTTTTTGGGGTGAGGGGCCCAAAACTGAACCCACTCAGCGAGGGGCGGCCTCACCAGTGCCCAGCACAGGGCTCAGATCCCTTCCCTGGCCCTGCTGGCCACCCCAGTGCTGATACAAACCCCCAGCCTGGATCACCGTCACAGCAGTGTGACGGGAGCTGTCAGTGCTTCTCTCCAGACAGAAACACACCCTGTGACAGTCACCTCCTGGGTGCAGTGCTTGAGGTTTTCCCCCTCGGAGCTCCCCGGGAGCAGGACAGGACGTGTAGCACGTGCTCAGCTTGCTGCCAGCCCAGCACCTCCCCAGCCCCACCAGTGCCGTCCCCAGACATGTCCCCTGGGTGAGAGCTGTGCAGAGGGGGTTCAGAAGCTCCACGGCAGAGGTGACTGCAAACAGCTGGACTTCTCCAGCACCCCCAAGCGCTCCCAGTCCCTGCAGATTTGCATCAAATCTCATGGAAACCCCAGGGAAGGGATGGGAAGGAGACCCGCTCCTGTGGGGGGCTGGCCCAGACACCCGGCCGGGCCCTGCTCCGCTCGCTGTCTGCCCTCCGGTGCGGCTGGGAGCACCACCAGCTCAGAATCCCACAATCATCCAGGTTGGAAAAGCCCTTGAAGATCATCCAGTCCAACCATGAACCTCACCCTGACCGTCCAGCTCCAGAGGGGCTGCGGGGGCCAAGCACAGCGCAGTGTTCAGCACAGCTCCAACACACAGATGAAGACGGAATTTGAGGAATTCGTCTTCAAGGAACCCTCTGGGCGGTTTTCTTTTAACTTAAACCATCTCCCCGTGTCAGCGAGGAGAAAACGCAAACACTGGGGCTTTGGAAAGGGGCCAGGGAGTTCTGCCCACCGGGAGAACCGAGCGAAGAGCAAGCTCCCACTCCCGCACGGTCACCAACAGTGGTGAAGGCTCCCAGCGCCACGCGTGTACGGCCTGGCCTCCCCGTGAGCAAGGGGCAGCTTCGTCCTGACTGAGAGGGCCAACAGGGCCAGGTCTTGGGCTACGGACACCTCTCATCAGAGAAGAGAAGGAGCCACAACCACCCGAGTCCTGAGCTGGGGGAGCAACAGGCTGCACTTCAAAGGCAGCCAGTGAAACCCGTCTGCTCGCCCGAAGGGCAGGGGCAGCGTTCCCAGCTGTCACCCTTGTCCTGGCAGGGACAGGGAGCAGCCACGGTAGAGGCTCAACAGGCAAACGCACCATGTCCTGCCACAACTGGAGCCCCAAAGCAGCTCCGGCTCCCCCCGAGCAGGCCAGAGGCACGGGGCGCTCGCTGCTGCGGAGCAGAGACCCCGCTCCCACAGCGGTCATGCTCAGAAACCTTCTGGGGACTGGTTTGTGCCCAGGCGAAGGGGGAAAAGGCCCAAGGCCTGGAACAGCAGGACTGTAGTGCTCTTGTTGCTCATCCGTTCCTCAAAAATCACTGAGGTGGGTCACTCAAGTACCGAGCAATGAAATCCGGCAGCCAAAGGCACAACACACACGTGATGGGGGCTTTGGCCCAGCCCGGCTCGTCTCCCTCTGCTCTCCCAGGCTGGAAAAACGAACAGCTCGTGCGAGTCAGCGCAGCCCAGCTCCGCCGACAGCCAGGCCTGGGGAACCCCGCCCCAGCCGTGCAGCTGACCCTGCGCTGCGGCCGCCCGCAGCAAGGGCAGGGCAGTGGTCACGGAGGCTCCCGCCTGCGCCCTCGCTCCTCTCCTCGGCCTCACCGCTCCCGCTCGCTGGGAAGGAGTCGCCGTTTCAACACCATCTCTCAGCCACGGCGGGCTGGGCTCCAGCTCAGACAGCTCTGCCAGTAAAATACCTCAGTATAGAGACTTTCCTACTGCGAGGGCGGTTGACATCGGCACAGGTGGCCCAGAGAAGCCGTACAGTTGCCATCCGTGAGAAAACTCAACTGGGCAACACGTGGACAACCAGCTCGAGTGGGGGTTGGACCAGAGACCTCCAAAGTGACGTGGGGTGGGGCTGGGAGCCTGCGATGCCCAAGGGTTCTGCTGTTTGAAGCAGCTCCAGGCCAGAGAACAGAGAGAATTTTTTTTTTTCCCCTGTCAGTTATTAATGCCTTGAGCACTGGAGGCCCTGATGGAACACCCTGTGTGCCCGTTCACAGAGCGGGCTGGGAACAGGAGGTTCAAGAACAGGGCAGAGCCCAGAAGCGATATCCTGGTGGTGGGAGGGGGGGAGGGAAGGCCACAGCCCGGCCTGAGGGAGAACACTGCCCTCCTGCACCTGGAACCCCGCTAAGTGCGGGGCAGCTCCCTCCTCAGAAGCGAGGCAGCAGTCAGGCAGCCAGGCTGCCCGGTCCGGAGGAGGCTGCCCGCACACACAATACCCCACAATACGCAGGAGGTTTGTAAACACACCAGCCTGCAGCCCCGCACCCTCCCAAACCCTTCGCATTTTAAAGAAAATAAAGATGGCGAAGATAAACGCTCCCGCAGGAACGGGCTGTTCTTCACGGCTTTTCTATTAACAAAAGTGGGTCACGGCCACCGGCCACCCGGCGTGGCCGAGCCCTTGGCTTGGCGTTGGGCTCCAGCGTGCAGCTGCTGACCCGGCGGGCTGGGCACGGGCCACGCTGGCCAGGGACCTGTGCCAGGCTGCTCCTACACCTCCTGTTCCTGGCAGCGACGACGTGGCTCCCGGTTGCTCCCAGAGGCAGAAAAGTCTTTACCAAGGTTGTTGTCTTGTCCCTGCCGAGCGGGGCCCCCCCCACCAGCCCCGGGGTATTTCAGACTTACCCTGAACACCTCCGTGTGGTCCAGGCGCGACACCAGCACCAAGCTTTTGGGAGCAAAGAGCTGTGAGGGTTGAACGGGAGATGAAGGCTCCTTTTCCTCCTCCTCCTCCTCCTCCTCCTGCCCTTTGCCATTCCTGGGGTGGCTCTGAGGCTAGGGAGGCACAGCAGCCAGGTTAGAGAAAGGATGCCAGGGCCCGGACACCCCCACACGGGGAAAGCAGGGACCACCGGCCGAAGCCGAAGGTAGCCGGACGCTCGCCTGCCAGCACCGCTGACCACCGTCCCCACGCCGCCCGCGGCAGCTCGCTGTACCTGTGCGCTCTCCACAGCCTCCCAGAAGGTGAAGCAGGCGCAGTAATGCCGCTCAGAGTTGATGTCGGTCAGCACGGCCACGAAGAAGGTGGGGGGGTTCCTCTCCGTGAAGAGCTGCCAGCCGCTGGGCTGGCAGAACTGCAAGAGAGGGCAGGGGAGGGCAGTCAGAGGGGCCACCCTGCCCACGCTGCTGCCCTCGCTCCCTGTGGCGCCTTGGGGGAGGCTGGATGACACCAAAGCAAGCCACCAGGTACCAACGGCACCGGGGCCCGGCTCCGGGGGACGGGGAGCTCGGTGTGCCAGCACGTCGCAGCGGGGGAGAGGGCGAGGGGTCGCCCCGCACCCATCTCAGAGCCGCAGGAGCTCCCCCAGCCCGGGCGCTGCGAGGAGCCGGCGCTGCCCGTGGCC